GTCGTCAAATGCAAAAGGATCAGCAACAGGGGTAGAGACAACCGGTGAAGGAGAAGTCTTGCGACGAGGATAAACTAACAACAGAGGAGGAGAAGAAGCCGAAAAAAAAGAAACAGCCAGAGGTGAAACAAGAGGAAAAGATTGAACAAACTCAAGAGGAACTGTGGAGATATACTCATTAGATGGGACCTCAGAAGGAAGCGGATCAATATTAACCAAATCTTCTTTGGAAACTGGGGTGGTGAGAGGAAGAAGCTGAAAGTAAGATAGACGTTCAAGAAAGGCAACATGGCGGGAGACATAAAGGCGACGGAAAACAAGATCATAACAGCGATAATCTTTCTGAGTGAGACTATAATCCAAAAAGACACGTAGGACTGACCAGACACTAAATTTGGTCCTATCTTTACGGGGATAAAAGGACAAAACAAGCAAACCCAAACATACGAAGAATTTGAGTAATTAGGAAATTGAGAAAACAAAGCCGCATAAGGAGACCGACCAGAAAGAAGGGGGATAGGCATACAGTTGAGAAGAAAAGCAGCAGTAAGAATTGCCTTACCTCAAAACGGAGCCAGAACGAAAGCAAAGAGAAGGAAAGACCTAACTGTCTCAAGGAGATGACGATGTTTACGCTCAGCTCGACCATTTTGGGCAGGTGTATCAGTACAAGAAGTTTGGTGAATGGTACCCAATTTGGCTAAATATTCACAGAATTCAGTTTTAAAGTATTCCCCACCCAAGTCAGGCCACAACAATTTAATAGTAGACCCAAACTGTGTAGTGACCATAGACTGGAAAGTAAGGTATATCTGGTTGAAGTCAGACTTATGAGTCATAAGATAAACTCAAGTATAACGGGTGCAGTCATCAACAAATGACACATAGTATGCAGAACCTCCCTTGGTGAAAACAGGAGAAGGATCCCAAACATTAGTATGAACTAAAGAAAATTGTGTATCAGATATAGAACTACTTTTATGAAAAGGTAAGGCTATCATTTTAACAAGTTTACACCTCCCGACATTCAGTAAGTTCACTAAGAAAAACTTTACCCAATATACAAAACTGAGCTAAAGACCGTAAACAATCAGCAAACAAATGTCCTAATCTAGAATGCCACAAGTAGAAAGGACTAAAGAGATAATCTAACTGAAAAGAGAAAAAGACAATCGGAGAGGTTGCCATTGACAGATGCAAGCTCTCCACCACATAGAGGTCTCCAACTCTACGGCCAGTCCCAATCTACTGCTTAGACATCCGATCCTACACTAAATAGATAGAAGAAGAAAAATAACATCAAAACCAGAGACATCAAGCTGACTGATAGATAATAAACTGACAGATAACTGAGGAACATAAAGGGCAGATGGAATAAAGACAACAGACATAGCAGACGGTAGTACAGACCCAACAGATATAACAGATATACCAAACCCATTAATAGCATTGACGGTAATAGGAAAGGGAGGAGTACAATTTTGAAGCAAGGAGAGATGGAGAGTCATGTGATGAGAGGCACCAAAGCAAAAAGCCAGACAGATGATGAAATACCTAAAGAAGACCCAAGCAAACCTGAATGAAGAGAGGAAACAATGGAGACAGACAGGGATGGCTGGGAAATAGACAATGTATGTTGAAGCTAACTAATCCGAGCAGTCAAGGAAGCCAAGTCAGGATCAGGAACCAGAACAAATGCAGTAGAACCAGCGAGAGGCCGAACGGTACTCAAAGGAGGAGCGCAGAACTTGATTGGAAGCTGCTGATAGGCGAAGCAGACAAACATCCCTTCTTGGGACAATGATACTTTCAATGACCTTTCTGATGGCAGAAATCACACTCATCAGAAGCCAAAGACATGGTAATCAGAAAACTGAGGGGTTCAAACACAATCAAACAAAATAGCCAAATCAGGGATTCAAGTGTAGTACTCAAAATCTGAGGAGTTAAATTGTAGTAAACCCAAAACAGAACAAAATGGCCAATTAGGGGTCGAAGGGTAATAATAAGAAATTTAAAAGAGGTTAACAAATAACCAGAATATCAGACCACTGAGTGGGAGAACACCAGTGGTATTCTCGATCAATACTCAGTGCGAGAAAAGCGAGCTCCACACAGAGACCTTGCGACAATCAAAGGACCTTCACAACTTCAGACCAAAGAACCAGAAAGAGACAGAGAGATCGTGAGTATGAACTAGATGGGTCGCAAACTTAGATAAGTCGTACAAGACAGACGAATCAAAGGATCGAAGCAGATGAACCAATGATGAATTAGACGAACCAAATGAGAGGGAGCAGACGATCGATCGAACGAAGCAGATGACCCAAATGAGCCATACCCAATGATGAACCAGACGAAAGAGAGAGAGAGAAGAAGAACCAGATGGGTCGACTTCAAGTCGACTCCGAATCAGATGAACGAACCAAACGAAGAAAGGAACAAAGAACTTGATTGAATCAGAGATCAAAACCAGAGAGAGATTCGTGTTGGCTGCTAGGGTTTTGAACCAAGTTCTGATACTATGTAAGTTTTCTGAATACTTATGTATATTCAACCTGTATTTTTACAAAGAGGTCATCAGTTATATAGCCCTAATCTATGACTGAAAAAGGAAATACAAAGTTTCCTATTTACACCATTCCTAATGCTAAGACCTAATTTCTAATATACACAATCATGCCATATATACATTGCTTCATTGTTGTGTAACATTAAGAGTGAAAGTTATTTATCAAAAACTTAATCTGACTACCACACTACAGGGGAAAAGTTATTTACATCAGATTGTCCAATTAAATTCTGGACATTGTATTAAACTGCATATGGACACTGGTTTGAGGAAAAGTCTAGTCCAGGAGTTATAAAGTTTTTTCAGTACTTAGTGTGTCGATGTCAATGGTTGAAAATTTTATGTTTTAATACTGAATAATTCACAAACATCAGAGGAGAGCTTTGGGCCAAATGTTGAGATTTCTGTGTGGCTTGGGTTTTGGTATATTGCCAGGTTAAATTGGAAAGTGATGCAGAGACATCATGGGATGCAAAGAGCTCCTTTGACAGACTACGAATTGCCACTTCCAGCACACATGTAGGGAGATGGCAGTAATGTTGCCGAATGCACATAAATACATAACTGAAGTCTCAGTACTCTATTATTTTGCTCTGTGATGAATTATATGAAATTCAAAACTCATGTGAAATCCTAATCTCAGAGAGATTATTATTCCAACTCTGCTTCTTTAATTTGAGGCTTTGCATCCTGTGCTACATTGCCGTCCAGGAATGTATACAATAAAGAAAGTTGAAACAAGAAAGTGGAACTCCAAACAAAAAGAACTAGAACTAAGATATTTAGTTGATTCCAGCAAATCTTTCGTACTCTCCCAAACATTCTTTGATATAAGTGTTTTTCCAATATCTACAGTTTCTTTTGTACAATAGCACTGTAAGTTTTCTGAATAATTCTATATAATCTACTTGTATTTGTTTACAAAGAGGTCATCAGTTGTATAGCTCTAATCTATGACTGAAAAAGGAAATTCGAAAAAGGAAATACAAAGATTCCTATTTACACCATTCCTAATGCTAAGGCCTAATTCCTAATTTACACAATCATACCATATATACACAAACATACCATATATACAATATATTCTCACACCCCCGCTCAAACTCAAGGTTGCCAAGAAGAAACTGAAACCGAGCGGTAATGTGAGTCTTGCTAAAGAAGTCCGCAAGTTGCAAAGCCGAGGAGACGAAAGGAAGCGAAATAGAGTCAGACTGTAAATGCTATCGGACAAAGTGACAATCAATCTCAATGCATTTCTTCCGTTCATGGAAGACAGTATTGTGGGCAATCTAAATAGCACTACGATTGTCACAATAGAGAGACGTCGGAGATGATTGAAGTACACCCAAATCAGAGAGAAAACAATAAAGCCAAACAAGCTCAGTAGTAACATGAGCCATAACATGGTACTCAGCTTTGGCAGTAGAGCGAGTAACAATAGTTTGTTTCTTGCTTTTCGAAGAGATCAAAGAATCGCCTAGAAACATACAGAAACCAGAGGTGCACTTGCGATCAATAACATCACCAGCCCAATCAAAATCAGCATAGGCCACCAAGTCTAAAGAAGAAATAGAGGACAATAGTGAGCCCTGAAAAATGATACTCCGGAGATAGCGAAGAATGCAAACCAAAGCAGCCCAACAGGTAGAGCAAAAAACAGAAACGAACTGACTAACCACATGAACAACATAAGCAAGATCAGAGCGAGTGACAGTCAGATAAACTAAACAACCCCCCACAAGCTCACGATATAAAGTGGGATCAGCCAAAGGGACTCCATCAGTAGAGGTGAGCTTCACATTAAACTCAATAGGTGTATCAGAAACCTTAGTATCGGTAAGACCAGCACAGTGAATGACCTCATTAGCATACTTAGCTTGAGACAGAAAATAACCCTTTGGAGAAGAAGCAACGTCAATACCAAGAAAATACCGCAATGAACCCAGATCCTTCATTTCGAAAGTGCAAAAAAGATGCTGCTTGACCTCGGAGATAGCAGAAGAGTCAGACCCAGTGATGATCATATCATCCACATATAGTAAGAGAGCAACAAAGCCAACCGAGATATGTCTCAAAAACAAAGCAGAGTCGGGAGCAGAAAGATGAAATCCAAACTCAATAACAGCAGTTTGAAAGCCATCATACCAAGCACGAGGAGATTGCTTCAGAACATATAGAGCATGCCGAAGGCGACAAACCTCTCCAGAGGAATGGTGAAGGTCAGGGGGAAGACGCATGCTAACCTCCTCAGTGAGATGGCTATTAAGAAAAACATTCTTAACATCCATTTGATAAAGAGGCCAAGAACGAACAGCAGTGACAGAGATCAAAGTACAGACAGTAGTCATCTTAGCAACAGGAGCAAAGGTCTCCTCATAATCAATACCATACTCCTCTGAGAAACCTTTGGCAACCAGACGAGCTTTGTAGCGCTCAAGAAAACCATCAGAATAAGTTTTGACTTTGTAGACCCATTTGCAACCAACCAAATTCTTACCAGCAAGCAAAGGAACTAACTCCCAAGTACTAGTTTTTTATAAAGCAAACAACTCATCCTTCATAGCTTAGATAAGTCGTACAAGCCAGACGAATCAAAGGATCGAAGCAGATGACCCAATGCTGAATTAGACGAACCAAATGAGAGGGAGCAGACGATCGATCGAATGAAGCAAATGACCCGAACGAACCATACCCAATGATGAACTAGACGAGAGAGAGAGAGAGAGAGAGAGAGAGAGAGAGAGAGAAGAAGAAGAACCAGATGGGTTGACTTCAAGTCGACTTCGAATCAGACGAACGAACCAAACGAAGAAAGGAACAAAGAACTTGATTGAATCAAAGATCAAAACCAAAAAGAGATTTGTGTTGGCTGCTAGGGTTTTGAACCAAGCTCTGATACAATGTAAGTTTTCTGAATAATTCTGTATATTCAACCTGTATTTGTGTACAAAGAGGTCATCAGTTATATAACCCTAATCTATGACTGAAAAAAGAAATACGAAAAAGGAAATACAAAGTTTCCTATTTACACCATTCCTAATGCTAAGGCCTAATTCCTAATATACACAATCATGCCATATATACACAAACATATCATATATACAACATATTCTCAAAGACCACTACCCAACACGTATCGTATTGGACGTCCAAACATGTCATTTTTTTTAAATATTTTATAACCAAATACACTTCGAACACTTGGGGGACACACCACCTCTCACACTTAAGAGACATATAAAACACACTACAAGTTTGAAGGAAATCACTAAGGAGTCAATGATTAAAATCAAAATACTGTGGGCTTGTACCTATTAAAGCCTCCTTTAGGCTTTTCAATTTCAGGAGCTTAAAAGTTCAAAACTTCTAATTAGTATATGAATATGGCGTTTCAAGATATATATATTCACTTTTTGTTTTCAATTTTTCCCCAATTTCACCATATCCCCGTTGTTTTGAGAATAGGATTTCAGTGTGATGGCGATCCTTTTCTTTTGTTGCTATAATTGTTGAATTCATTAGATACCAATTCCTATCTAAAAAAGTGTTTTCTCTTCTTTGATGTCGCATTTTTTAATGAAATTTTATTATTTATTAAGAAACAGTAATTATACTATGACTTCAAAACTAAGGGGCCATTGCAATCATTGAGTTAAAGAAGGTAAATCTAAGAAGTATGAAGCAGAAGTAATGGGAAAAAAATACCTTTTACCATCTGGGTTGAATGCCAAAGCATTTATTGGTCCAAAGTGGCCTTTCACTCCTCCTATTTCTTCTTGAAGAATCTAATTATAATCAACGAAGAACACACTTCCTTAGTAGGTTTACTCATTTACCAAGCTCATATGATTTACAAATCACGTTATGAAATTACAATTTTACCTTGTCAAAGAATTTGGCTTCAAACTTCCCAGCACGATGATCTGTTGTTGTGACAGCTGAAGCATCCTGACCACCTCCAAGCACCACCTGGAAGCATCAAAGGCATGAATTAGCAATGTATAATGAAAGCTAAATAGAACTTACCCAAATAAGCTACATAGAAAAATGAAAGCCAATGAGTGACCGATTTTGTTTAACTGGAAGCAAATTGCATTTACCTTTTCAAAACCCAAATACTGGAACAGAAAATAAAATTTAAAAAAAAATAAAAATTAAAAATTAAAAAAAAAAGGGTTAAACAATCCATTGAGAAAACGCAACAATTCACATACTGAAAATCTAGCACCTATATGATTATAACAGTCACCCTTAAAATCCAAAACAAAATGCTAAAGCAGAAAAGGAAAAACAAAGGGTAACAATCCATTGAAAAATATGCATCAATTTATGAACAAACTGAAAATCTAGAACCTAGATGATTATAAAAATCACACTTAAAATCAATGCTTCATAATTATATGATTCTAGCCGTCATGCCTAAAATTAATGCTTCATTGGTACGTACATGATCAAGAAGCGGAGACATAGCAACTGCATTGACTGGTCGTTCTGTCACATAGGTCTTGATAAGTGTCAATGACCTGGAATCCCAAAGCTAACAAAATCGGGGAGAAAAAACAATAAGAAAAGGTTCAAAGCGATGGAAGACAGAAGAGGTGTTTGAAAACCTTTAAGGAGTTAATTAGTTAGTATACCTTAGCAGACTTATCTAGGGAACCAGTAAGAAAATGTGAGCTATCTGCAGACTTTGAGAGTGATGTAATCGGCTTTTTGTGACCAATTTCCTTGTCACACTCTTTAAGCAATTTTCCTGTCTGCCAGTTCGTAAAAAAAAAAAAATTTCAAACTCCAACTTTGGGCCAACAAACAAATAAAATTTAGAAATGAAAAAACTGAGGAAACAAAATGTCAAATGCCTAAAAAAAATCTAAGTACAGCTTCAAAGTAACTGGAAATAAAAAATTAAAAAGAAAAAACTATGAAATAACTACTTAGTAACAAATTCGCAATTTTCGAAATTTTCTGTTTGCATTACTAGTGTCCACAATGGAAAACAAACATGTAAAATGCAGCCATTCACCTCAGAATCCCAGATACGTATCACAGCATCTTCACCAGCACTTATAATAGTCTTGTTCAAAGGTCCCCAGACAGCTCGATTTATTCTTCCCTGAGGGCCCTTGAGCGTGAGCACAGACTCATCAGTCTCTGCAAATGATATCAATAACAGTTTTACAAGTTTGGAAAAACATTGCGTTGTAGAATGAAACAGGAATTCCACCAAACAAAGCGATGCAGTAAATTTCTGTCACCTACTACATCTAATCTGGCATGCCTTGGACAGTCACTATAATTGTTCAAGCAAGCCTCATTGACTTCTTTTACAATAATAAACCTACTAAGGAGGTCCATCTATGAGATTTCATATATTTCGGTACCCCCTTTTAGAAGCTTCACTTTGTTTCAAACCTTGCCCTTTTTTCTTTTCCTTTTTCTTTTTCTTTTCTTTTTTGGCTCTTATTTGCACTTTTAAGGAATACCACATGCCAAATATTTTCTTCATTATCTTTATTTATTTCAATTGACAACTTCCCTTGTCGGAAATAGGATTGACTACAGCAAATCCAATATTTTAAATTTGTATCTAGAATGACTAGAAAGGTGAAACAAGACCAGATATAATTTGATCATTATGAACAAATCCAAAATCATGGGTCTTCATTAATCATTTGACATAGTATTTTAGTATGTATGTGTATATACATAGGTTTCTCTTTCATCCTCTCCGAGGTTTCAATGTTTAGAGGTCCAGAGCTCAAACTGGACAAAGAAGGTCCAAATTCAAAATAAAATCCAATCCCAATTGGTAAATCACAATAATCAGATAACTACATTAAAATATATATATATATATATATAGAGAGAGAGAGAGAGAGAGAAATTTACGTTCACTGGGATCTCTGGAAATGCGCTTGACGTGAATAGCAGAAGGCAATCCCATAAAGGGATCGGTAGTGATGACTGCAAGCTTATCACCAACGGAAAAATCTACAGCTCTGGCTGGAGAATCAAAATTGAACGAGAAAAGCTGTGCCCCTGTTTGAACACTACATTAAAAAAAAATATATATATATATATAGAGAGAGAGAGAGAGAGAAATTTACGTTCACTGGGATCTCTGGAAATGCGCTTGACATGAATAGCAGAAGGCAATCCCATAAAAGGATCAGTAGTGATGACTGCAAGCTTATCACAAACAGAAAAATCTACAGCTCTGGCTGGAGAATCAAAATTGAACGAGAAAAGCTGTGCCCCTGTTTGAACATTCCACAGCTTCACCGACTGATCGGCACTTCCAGTAATGAGCAGCATAGAATCCCCTAATAAACCAAATTCACAAAACCCAAGTTTCTTTCAGACACAAACAAACAAACAACTAGGCCATCTCCAATCATTGACTCAAACCGATATCAAATTTAAATTTGGGTAAAAATACTCAACACAAACTTATACCAAATTGAGGAGACTCAAATGCTTACTCAAATTTTTTAAAGCTATTATGTGACTCAAAAAATTTACCACTCTGTCATTCATTAGTTAAGCATTCACTCAAATTTATGCTAAAATCTCAGCTTGTCCATGAGAGTAGTTCATATATCAAATAAAGCTTTTACACAAATTTAGATGGTGTGATGGCATATTTTAACATAAAGATCCTTAAAAACTATCAATTTATGTATATGAACACATTAATAGAGAGAATTTGAGCAGAGCATAGAATCCCCCAATAACCAAATCCAAAAAAAAACCATTCTTTCACATGTAAATCCTAAAAAGAAAAACAAACACATATTAACTGATATTGAAAAGAGTGTATATATATATATATATAGAGAGAGAGAGAGAAGGGGACTTGCTTGAGACATCGCAACACCAGACGGCGCCGTTGTGGCCACGGTAAGTGCCGAGGCGCTCGCCATTGTCGGCGAACCAGACGGTAGGGTTGTGGTCCTTAGCGCAGGAGAAGAGAAGGTCTCCGTCCCTGTTGTACTTCAAGAATGTTAGTGGCCTCTCATGCCCTTTCATCAATATTGGCCTCATTCTCAATCCTGATTAGGGCTTACCTCTCTCTTTCTTTCTCCTCCTTCTGTGCTTGCACCAGACACAAAAACCCTAGCCAGAGGTCGGTGAGTTCATCTGGCTTAACTGGCCCGACCCGTTTAATTATGGACATCAGGTATGATAAAATTATCCGATCGATTATATCCGTTTCAACCTGATTTTAATAAAAACAAATTATGATAGTATTGATAAAGTACAGTGAGTATATGGATATGTAGGTTAAAATTGTTAATGTTATGTGAGAGGATAATTTATATATAAATTGGGCTGAGTTGGGTAATGGGCCGTTCTGTGGGCCACAGTAGGAAAAGCCTTGTAGTTAGCCCGGTTCAAAGGAGCTTTGCAATTAGCTCGGTCACCACGGTCTGGCAACAGTTAGCTTGGTCACACCATGCAGAGCCGAGGTATCTTTGGCTTTTCTGAGAACCTTGCTCATTGATTAGCTCGGTCCAAGCTTGCCATAGGATAGCACGGTCTCTACGGAAGAAACCGAGGTACAACTGAACGAGAGCCGAGCTAGCTTGGCGTTGCGCATTGGAGCACCAAGCTTGGTCAGCTCGGTCTGAAGTTAATAGCCCGGTTGGAGTATGCGTAACCAGGGTGCAGGCATTGAAGGGAAGATCTGAGCCAGGTTAGCTCAGTCATACTGCCATCTAACTAGGGTAAAACCATCTCACTTGGTTTAAGCAGTGAGGGGTGTTGAAGGATAAGTATTATCCTTCAGGAGTGTGATTCCTAGGAGGACTCTGCATTGAGGAATAAGAATCCTACTAGGATTGTGCCATACGGAACCTATAAAAGCTCATAACATCATCTATGGAGAGTTAATACAACTTTGATTCTCGAATACACAGAACTTTTGTCTATTTGTCTATTTTGCTGACTTAGGCATCGGAGACGTATCCGGCACACACTCACTGGCTAGCTCAAGTTTGTGTTTTTAGAGAGTAAAGTGACGACGTTTGGAGGAGCACGGACTTGATCAACAGGATTAGGGGTGAGCAGCGGATATACCGATTTGCCAAAACCGACCGAACCGAACCGATCCGCCGTATTTTGGACGGATGCGTGATGACGAGCGAACGATTGTGGATTGATTTTCTCCAATCCGCCAATATGGCGAACAGATGGCGGATATGAGATTCCTTTAGCCACAACCGAACCGCCAAACCGCGAGTATCTTTATGTTTTCTGTTTGTTTAAATATTCTGTTTGTGTTTTCAATTAAAAAAGAGTTTAAATATTATGTTGAAAAAACAGTTTTCAACTTAAATATCTTTTTTGAATTGAAAAAAATAAACGTATTATTTATCTATATTTTTTGGTTTTTGAATCTATCTCTAAAAATAATAAATAGAAAATATGATATGTATTGGTTGGTTTTTGTTTTCAAAAACAGATATAGATGTAACAATACAGAGACATACAATCTCTATTGCTGCTGTGTTCATCGTTTTGGTGGTTTGAATTGTTTTTATATTTTAAGAACCACAGATTGTAATATTTTATGTGGATGAGGCATGCTGTGATTGTAGTACGTAGATGAGGCATGCAGTGATTGTGATATTCTAAAGTTTTAAACTTTCTTGCTTTGGATGAGGTATGCAGTGATTGTAATATTTTTTTTAAGTCATTGACTGTAATACTTTCTTCTTCTTTTTTTGAGAAAGTACACAAGTTGAATTATGTTGAAAATTTATAAAATTTTAAACCGCCAAACCGATTCGCATCCATCCGCCAAACCACCAATCCACTCAATCCACATCCGCCGGATTAGCGGACGGATACGGATTGATTTTCTCCAATCCGCCAATCTGGCGGACGGATAGCGGATTGGAGGTTCCGTGGCCGCAACCGACCCGCACCCACCCCTAAACAGGATTATACGAGAAGATTATTTCTTACTTGTACATTATGGTATTATTAAAATAATTGAGTTTAAAATTAATAATTTATGCACAAAATTTTTAAAACAATCCGACCCGTTTGGAATACAGGGTAGAAAAGTAGAGGAAATCAAACAACATTAGAATAATCACAAATTTTTTTTAACCATTATTTATTCATTTATTTATTGGATAAATTACAAACACACTTTTTGAGATTTATTTAAATTATAAATAATTTCCTGTAATTTTAGAAATTACATTATGCCCCCCAAGGTTTCTAATTTCATAACAAATAAGTCATTTTATTAATAAATTATCAAGTTAACAACTTTTAATAATGTTAAAATTTTATTTCAATTAACAATTCATATAATTTTATTATTGTATAGGTAAACAGTTAGAAATTTTACTTTTTCAATTAATTCTGTTAAATAAAATATTCTGACAATGAGGTATTTATGATTTTCCAAACTACAAGGGACAATTCGTATTTTAAGCAAATCTCAGAGAGTGTATTTGTAATTTACCCTTATTTATTTATTTATAACGTTAGGTATATTAACACAGTATTATTTTAAAAGGTTACTATTATCAATGTAGTATTGACAATATGAAATAATAAATAAAATATGTTAAATATATATATATATATATATATATATTATTAAAAAATATATTATATAGGTTAGAAGAGAAAAATAATGGTAGCGTTTGGTTTACTTTTTAAAACTCAACTTTATTTTTAAATAATAATTTGAATGCAATAGGTTAACCAAATATATTTTTAAAATACAACTCAAAATTACTTTCAAAACTCCTATCTTTTCTTTTTTATTATTATTATTAATCAATCAATCACTTTTTCTTCCTTATCTCTCTTTCCTCCTCTCACATTCTATGCATCAATCAATTAAAAAAAAATACAAACCATCCTAAAACTATTTTCAAAATGCATAATCAAACAAATTTCTATTTTCAAATCATGATTCAAAAAATTATAATTCAAAACACAACTCCACACTTAAATCATAATTTTAAAATTAAACCAAACGGACCAATGATTTTATTTGGTATCTTATTGTTTGACTCAACTAGAGAAAAAAAGAGAGAAAAAAAATAGGTGCCATGTTATTTTACCAAAATATTTTTTGTTAATGTCATTTCTTTTGTATTTAGATGGATAATTTTAGTATAAAAAAAAATAAGCATTATGTTAATTGCTTATATCAAAATTTCTCCATTCTATTGGACCACCCAGAGGGGGTTGCTAGAACACCTCTCTCTAGGCAATTTCAAGTGAGCTCCGGAGACTTTTCTGGTATCTCCCGTGAGCTCTCCAAACACTTTCAAGGTGTAAATTTGGTTTTTTTTTATGCCTAGGAAGATGGGCTTGAGAGTTTCTTCTCCGATTTTAATATAAATGTGTAGATTTTCAACACCCACAATGGTTCTCTCTTTTATCAATTTTTCTCTCATACTGTTATAGGTATTCTTTCTCTTCAACTCTAACTTCTAGTGTTGACCGAAGTACGGTGACGACGATGGTGACTAAGTTGGGTACCGACAACGGGGTTGATGTCAATGATGATAACAAGTTTGAGGCAAATCTTGCTTGGTTGATGCAGATCTTACTTTTTCAAACCACATAAGTAAGAAGATCAATTATTTTTTCTAGATTATTATTGTTTTTGTAGCGGTTTTGTATTTTATTGTTTATTGTTTGTAGTTCTTCTTAGGTTGTTTGTTTGGCCCTTTGGAGTTTTGTTGCTTTTCCTTTTCTTGATTTGTACATTATTTGTTTTTATTTTAATATAACTGCTTTATATGTCTAAGGAAAAAAAAAAAAAAACTCTCCATTCTTGGGGAGATTAAAAAAAATGACTTCTCTCTCGTTGGTGGTAATCCAACTAGAGACAGATAATTGAGTTTGGTAAGCCTATTTTGAGATTCATCTTAATAATCCGAACTATTTATTTTGTAAAATTTATTGAGAAAATAATTTATATAAAAAATTAAATTAATCGAATATCGATAATTATATATTTATTTACATTTGTCTTATAAAATTGAACAACAAATATCATTTTGACAAAAAATAAAAATAAAAACATTACAAACGCTTCCGTTTATTGTGTTTTTCTTTTCATTTTCTCAAAAATTAAAGAGGAAAACTTATTGGGCACAATACGTTTCATTTTCAAAAAAGTGAAATTGATTCCAAAAAATTAAAAATTAAAAACACATTGCTTATTTACAAAATAAATTTTCACTCTATTCCCCTCCACCAACTCCGACCACCACCCACCATTTGGCCATCAACAACATACTCTAGCCAACTTCCAACAACCCGTATAACCTTCAGCAACACTTTGACAACCATCACATCCGATCTCCCTTCATTAACTCCCTGAATTTTTTTTTGCAAAACATCTTTTGTACACTAAATAAATTTGTTGTGTATAAATAATTATTTATTTTTGACTTTTAAAAAACAAAAAACAAAAACTTAACTGACAACGTAATTAAATAATGACGTTTGCCAGAGTGCCCCACTTGAAATGTGATATGAAATCAAAGTATAGCCTTATTGCTATTAAATTGCAGTCCACTATTCAATCTAATTGACAATTATATGGCTCAAGTAATCGATCAATAGTTATCACCACTGGACGAGGTTCAAAGTAGAGGCTGTAGATTAATACGGAGCCAAATTCAGGGAGTTGTATTTAAATAACCGATGGCTTCTATATATATCATCCTCCAAATCCTTTAAACTATTGCCAAGTTGTTCAGGCAACACACAAATAAGGGAGTTTAATTTTAATCTTCTTTTATTATTTCCCAAACCCATTCATGGGAACTAGCTATTCTAAAGAATACAGTGACTTCCAGTGACCTTTCTCATTTTCAAAATAATAGGAAATCAAACTAGACAATGAAAACAAAAACAAAAACAAAAACAAAAAAAACTTGTGGAGTATACAAGCAAAAGAACATAACAATCCTGCAACAAACCTTACCATCCGAGAGGGCAACTAGAGTCACAGGCAAAGTATTCACACCAGGTATCTCTATCTTCATCTCATTTTAGAGCATGCAATTGTCTCTAGGCTCTGTGTTGTATGGCTAATCCACTATGGCTAATCACCTCTCTCCTCATTTTGGGACTGCACTCAGACATATGACCACTCCAGGTTACAGCAAATCCAAAAGAGGCGGCTTCTCAGCCGGTGATTTGGCATGGATGGGCCGCGTTGCTGAAACTGAACCAAGTTGCCCTTGATTTCCCCTCCCTCTTCCTCTTCCTCTTCCTCTACCAACAGCAGTTGGTGGGGGTGGAGCCAGTCTAGGTGCTGTCTGCTCATTCTTGCTAGAAGCAAATATGGATCCAAGATCCGTTACTTTGTTATCAGTGTACGTACCCAAAGCTGAAACGCCCTGATTTTGTTTTATAAAACCCATCGAGCTCTGGTTGAGTCCTCCGCTGTTGAAACCACCAGTACTCAATGTTGGATTCCCCTGATTCTGTCTTGAAGGTTCTACAGAATTTTGGGTGTTGAAAGCCCAACTATTGGTGTTGGCAGTCGGGAAATTTAGATCATTCAGAGTACTTGTATTCAAACCAGACCCATATTTGTTGGTGGATGATGTTACTATGCTGCCATTGTTGGAAGATCCAGAAGCATTTAACGAGCCACTAGGCCGTGGGGGCCAGTTAGCAAAGGGATCTATATCATCGAAACTTCCAGAGGATGGTCTTGTGTTTTGATTTTGCTTCTCAATGTCACCCAATTGAAGCGTAACTCCAGATGAGGACCGAGGAGGCCACTCTACATCAACTGGGGGACATGACAAAGGAGTTTGCTGGATAGATACGGTAGATATTGAGGATTGCAAGTTTGCTGAATTAAGTTGATTTGGCAGATTAGCAATATCGAGCTGAGCGGATGACAAATTTGTTGCAGAGGACTGGATGGTCGTGGTGGGTCCCTTGGTGGTGGGAATCCAACTGTCATCCCATGAAGGGCTATTACTTGAAGTAGATGTGACGGTTGTAGGTTTCTTCACTGCTTCTAACTGATGCCCATCAACAGCAGGAGATTGTTTTATCTCCGGAAATCCAGAATCGGTCACTGTTACTCCACGTTTTTCTTCTATCTTCCTGCATAAAAAACATCAAAAGAGCCACCAACGAAAGAAAAATTTCATATACCATTTCATAATTATAAAAGACAAAAAGGAACTGCTGCTGCCCTCTGGACAGTTAAATACATTTTATAAGAGGACCATGGATGTAACACCCTGTTCGGATCATGGGGTGAGAAAAGAAAAAAAATGATTGTGGTCTCTCATCTAGGTGAGAAAGCAAAGAAATTATTGTATCTTCTCACTATCACGTTAGGATGAGCAAGAATGCAAGGTATGTGATATAGGATACAGCTGAGATTTCTTTTCCTTCCTAATGTATTTTAATAGGCTTCAGTATTATGAAAAATACACAACCAATTGGTTCGCTCTTCTTACCAAATCTCACCATTTTTGGTGTTTTGGTGAGTTGACATTTCTCCCCACTTCTCACCTAACTTAAGAACCAAACGTGAGAAAAAGTGCTTACTCTCTTTGTTTCTTATCATTTCTTATCAAATCACTCAATCCAAATGGGCTGTAAGAGATGGCAGTAATACCTGAGGATATCCTTAACAAAGAGCATATACTTGGCAAACTGCTGAACATTCAGTTGTTGAGCGACAAGAAGTGGTGAGAGTAGTGGAAGGACATGCTCTGCAGCAAACTCTAATCCAAACTAAACAAAACCCATCAAAGCAAAAGAACCATAAGCTGCTTTTCAACACCAAAACAACCCAACATTATTACCAGTAGTCAGTCTCAAAAAGCAATTTCATTAACAGAAACTATTACCTTCTTCAAAATAGAGTTTGAAACCCCCAGAGTGCACATAAGAGTTGGAGCAGAACGATCAACAGCCGTGCAACGTTGGATTGTTTGCAAGATTTCTAAAACAGCATGCTTATCGAGCACTTGAACCATATCACCGAAACATAGCAGAGCATTTACTCTCACCTGCATTCAGAATCAAAAACAAGTTCAGGCCACAGTTTTTTTTTTTTTTTCCTTGGAATGACACCCTGAATTTTTATAAACAAAGCACCACTATCATTTATGATGCATTTTGAGCTACGCTACCTATGATATGACATAGTATGCAATAGAAGACAATAATTAGGGGCTTCAAGGTTGAGGGCAGCCACTACATGCAAACAAAAGGTTGAATCTATTCTCACTCCACACCTCCTAGAACCCTACACTGGTTGGGAAACACTGGGTAATGATATTTATCAGAAAAAAAGAAAACCACTGGGTAATGATCTTTTCTTCTAGACATTTTATCACCCTAACCATGCAGCTACAAATCATGTTAAGTTCACCAAATCATAACAAGAACTTTAACCGATTCTAACTTCTAAGTTACACGGACTTGCAACTTTTTGTGCAAGTCTCTACACTGAATAAAATTAAATAATTTGGGCAAATGAGGCTATCCCCCGTATATAGCCTACAAAGAATATTCTAGAACCCTGATGATGGAGAGTGTTCTAGACACTACTACACCTCCTCTAATGGACTATTCTAGAATGTACAAGAATACCATCTACAACTCTAGAATTATGTACAAGCCTCTTGATTAATTCTAGAGAGTTCCATGAACCTCTCAAGTCTTCAAGCACATTCTAGAGTCCTCCAGTGGGAATGCCATCCCAAATTGCAAGGTTGTGACACAATGCACCACTGTTTGGACTAGGCTCGCACAAATAGATTCTTTTAGCTCTACTTATGAATCTAAGCTAAGTAGTGCTATAGAAGCTTAAAAAAGATGCAAATTTATTTTAACACATAATGTGGCCTGCCATATGTATCTCTCTTATATACACGTGTATCTTGAAACAGTACCACAAGTAGGTTTTAAATATTGTATTGTTTTGTTTTATTTTATTTTCGGCAACTTTTAAATTAGGATTTTTTTTCTATGCCTATAAATAGGCCATTGATAAATGGCTTCGTTTGGAAAGTGGGTTGGATTTTTGACTTTTTGACTTTTTTGGCTATTTTAGCCTTGGGCTAAAAAGCCTAATTTGGGAAGAGCTTTTGGCTTTTTTGACTTTTTTGTGAGATCAATAATGTAATGATTATAGGTTGGATATGATGTTTTGTCTTATTGGGCTAAAAAGCCTATTTTGTTTTTTGTGGCTATTTTAGCCAAAAAAGCTCCAAACCCATCTTGCCAAACGTAGGCAATATCTATTTAAATTTAAGTATTGATATTGAGTATTGAAATGAGGATTTCTTTTGTTTTGTGAGATCAAGGAACTTGGGGCTTTTTTATTTTCTTTTACTGTGTAGTTTATTTACTTCTAATATTTTTTTTTTCGGGTTGGCCGTCCAGAATCAACAAATTTTGTTATATCTTCAACATCTTTGGTCAATTATTTATCCTTCACATGGTTTTCCAAATATCAACTAAATAAATGTAATTAAATGTGTTGTCATTGGATTCAGGACTGCCCTTGATTTTACAACTTCACATTACAAAATACCGGAAATCAACTTAAATAGATATTTATAAATTGAATTATGTTTTGTTTTAGCTTATATAGAGTTGTAAACTGCTAAACCGCCTGGGTATCTTCTTCTTTTGCTTCCAATTCTACATTGTCTTGATCAATTGAAGAATCTTACTGAGAAAAGGCAAGGAAGCTATGAAAATTAAAGCACACGCAATGCATATAGTCTACGTTATCACACCTAATTACACAAAAATATTCTTCTACTACAATTTTCACAACAATAGCAATATTCAATGGACTTTCTAAATATTCCCATCAATCAACAGTGCTTTTGAAACTCAATTTCTCAAGTTTCAAGAGTTTTGAACCCCTTTCCTCTCAGGAGGAAGACCAGCGACAAAATTCAAGCCTCTGCAATGGAATAAAGCCTCCAATAACATCCTACCATCCTATGGTAATAACGTTAAAACATAGTAGGTGAGGTGGTAGTGGTGTAGTGGGTTAGGTGTAGTGGAGTAGGTGAGGTGGTAGTGGTGGTAGGTGATGGTAAATTCTAACACCATCAATCAACAGTGCTTTTGAAACTCAATTTCTCAAGTTTCAAGAGTTTTGAAGCCCTTTCCTCTAAGGAGGAAGACCAGCGACAAAATTCAAGCCTCTGCAATGGAATAAAGCCTCCAATAACATCCTACCATCCTATGGTAATAACGTTAAAACATCGATGCCAAAAGATGTATATGGACATAAAAAAAATTAAATCATCCAGAAGAAAAGAAAAGAAAAAAAGGGAAAGTACAAGAAAAGATAAGTACCGCTGCAACTGTTGTTTTAAGAGCCAAACCATGAACACGGGGCAAGATTGCTTGCTTAACTAACTGCAAAAAATTTAAAATTGATAAGCACAAGACAGTTAGAATTACCTACAAAAGTGAGCTTAGAACTGTATTACTAGCTAATATTTCGTTAGGCTTTTGTATATATTTTTTGTTTCTAGTGTGAGTTCGGTAACATTTGCCTAGATGTGGGTATCCCAATTCTTTTAGCTATTTTGTAACAATGCATCAAGGGATAACTTTCTGTCATTACCTATTTGCCTTAATTATGGATGAATTGACTCAACACATTTAAGATGATGTTGCATGGTGTATGCAGTTCGTAGATTATTTTTCTAGTGGATGAAACTAATAGAGGAATCAACCTTAAAATAAAAATTTGGAGAGAAGCACTTTGTCAAAAGGGTTAAAAATTAGTAAAACTAAAACCCAATATATGGAATGTAACTTCAGTAACCAACAAAAGTAAAAATAATGAAGTGAATTAAAAAAAAACCAGCAGATAGCAAAGAGTGAATATTTTTGTTACTTGCGTTCAAATTTCAATCATTAACAAGGATGGAAATGCTAAGATAAAGTGATCCATATAATCAAAGTAGGTTGGCTCAAGTGGAGTGCTTTAGGTAGATTATGTGATGGAAAAATACCAATAAAATTGAAAGAAAATTTTTATAGACAACTAGAAAGCCAACTAGGCTATACGAAATAGAATGTTAGACAACTAAGAAACAACACATTAATAAAATGAGTGTAACTGAGATAAAGATGTTTGGATAGACGTGTGATAAAATTAGAAAAGATAGAATTAGAAATCATTATATTCATGAAATATTAGGAGTAGTACCAACTGAAGATCAGAAAAGATAGAATTAAATGGTTTGGTCATGAAAAACGAATACTAGCAGATGCAACAATAAGAAAAAGTGATATGACTACCACAAATGGAAATGTTAGGGGGGAGCGAAGACCTTAACTGAAATAGGATGCAATACTAGAAAAATATGACTTCATTTAATTTAACTAAGCATATAGTCCTTGACAAAGCGAAATAGAGATAAATGATTCATCATGCACCCGACCCCCATCTAATTAGAACACAAGGATTAGTTTGGTTTGGTTTAGTAAAAGTTTCATTTAAGGTCAGAAGTCATCTTAGTCAAATTTCTTGATTGCAAAGGAAAAACCAACTTAGTGGACAGAATCTAGTCATCGATCAAGTCTATTTCATAGATAACAATCAAGGAATCCAACTCGAACTCCTTTTATGCATGCATAGTTATTACTCATGTTTACGCACATCAAAGTTTTGAAAAGCGGTTGCGGTCGCCGTAACGGTTGCAGTGACGCGGTAGCGGTTGCAAACTATAAAGGTCATAGCATAATGGTTGTGGTAACCGGAACCGTAATTTTTTTTTTTTTTTTGGCACAATTTGAAGAAAACTTACCGATACGCATATATTTTTTTTTTTCAGAATCACATTTATTGGGGTTTAAAATAAATTTGGATTAATTTTTGTTAATTTTTAAATATGATCCAATATATTTCATATTTTCAATCACTATAAAAACAGCTTTTTACATTTTAGTTCAATAGTGAATGATTTTAAGAAAAATTGATTTTAAATATTTACAAATTATTTTTTACAAATACCTGAACTAACTAAATAAAAAATATTCACAATTATTAAACGAAAGGATTATAAAATAAAAATTGTGCCATAAATTAAAAAAATATATATTATAAAAAAAAAATTCATATAAGATTTTTTCTTTGGGTTTGGATCACTTGAGTATTTGTTCTTTTTTTTGTAAGTTTATTTTTTATTTTTTATTTTTTTGGGGGAAAAATAAAGCTATTCAAAATATTGTAAAAGAATGTAACGGTGTCTAACGAATTGTTAGGGTATTGCTACGGCCATTATGAAATATCAAAATGGCCATTACACATGTGAATTTCCGTCACACCACTATAGCGGCCGTAACCACCACAACCGTTGCATAACGGCGTTACATAACGGTTGTGGCCGCTTTTTAAAACCTTAATGCATATACAAAATCAAAATGACCCTTTCTTCGTAAAAAATAGTAATGATGACTCCTCCCTCCTCCCACTCATACTCTCATATAAACAGTCATTTTATTTTCCATTTTGCAATATGCTAAATTACTTAATGTCATACGAAAACCTTTAATTTGATCTTTTTCACATGTACAATTTCTGGAAAGTATAATTCTAACCTCCTAGGTGTATGGTCATGTGCAAGCTCACCCTTGTAGGATTGCGACCATTTTTCCAGGCCATTGTAGAGTATAAAAATAGAGATTACTTTTTTTATAAAAAAATTCCAGCCCATGGATCATTTTAATAGTTTCATTAGTAAGCTGATCGATTACCAAAAAAAATGTAAGTGGTGCCCATCAAATAGGAAGCTTTAAAGATCAAAAGAAGTGGGATACAAAATAGTTTACATGTAAACACTTTCAGTGTATGCATACACAACATAGTCCAAGCACGGATGTTTTTGGATTACTCCATAAAAGGAGAATAACAATCAAAAGGAAAGATCAGTCAAGGACAAGCGGAAGAAAATGTTTTATGTGATAAATTGTTCATGTAAACAACCAATAAGAATGACAGTGGCAATCACCTGAACATCAAGTTGCCTTGCAAGGGAAACAGTTCTTTTCAAACCTTCCTCCTGCATGCGAGCATCATTATCATCATAAGCTCGAACAAGCAAGGGCAGGAGATGTGAAACCAAGTGCTCCTGACTAGCCTACAATAATTACAAAACAAACATATGACATTATGACCAAGTACAAATCAAGATTATAAACAAAATAAAACGAAACCAGAAAAGGGGGGACAGAAAAAGAAGAGAAGAAAAGTCACAGCAGGCACTAAGTTCGATAATCCTGCACTATAAAGAGGACCAAAAATAAGAAAGAGGGGATACAAGAAACGAAGAATTTAACAATTTTAGCAACCACATTAACGTATACAACATCTAAATCAATCAAAAGTTGAAATAGAATTTAGGCATTTAATAACCTTATTGATAATAAGGTCTGCATGCTTCACAAGCAGCAACAATGTCTCGCCTGCAGCAGTACTAAAGACAGGAACAAGGGCCGGCAGTGTTGATAGCTCAAAATCACTTTTATCCTGCAATTGATTGAAGACATCATCCCATAATGTCCACGGGAAAAAAAAACAGGATGTTAATAATCATTGAAGGTAAAATTTACAATGCATCCATTATTAGACATAACACCATCTATGTGACACAACACAGATGGTTTGGACACAGTTGGGAGTGGCGGCTGAAACTAGGGGAGGATTGGTGGTGGCGGTTGAAGCTAGGGGAGGAGTAGGGGTGATTGGGTAGGGATCAGAGGTGGCTGGGTAGGGTGAACGAGGAAGGGGATGGATAGTAGGGTAATTTTGTTTTGATATTAGAGGGTAATTGGATAATTTTATCAAACTCACTCCAAATCAACACCCATTGCCTCTACCCTAACTGATCAAAACCAAATCAAACTCCTACTCGATCTTATCAAAGCCTCAAACAGAAATAATCTCGAATGGGGTGAAATCACCCATAGAACTCTGGGGTCATGAAGATAAGCCAATAGGAAGAGCTGAAGAAGGTGGTTCGGCTCTATCTCTCTCTCTCTCTCTCTTGTGGAGTTTGATTTTGTGGTGGCAGCATTGCCCCATAATGTCCACGGGAAAAAAAAACAGGATGTTAATAATCATTGAAGGTAAAATTTACAATGCATCCATTATTAGACATAACACCATCTATGTGACACAACACAGATGGTTTGGACACAGTTGGGAGTGGCGGCTGAAACTAGGGGAGGATTGGTGGTGGCGGTTGAAGCTAGGGGAAGAGCAGGGGTGATTGGGTAGGGATCAGAGGTGGCTGGGTAGGGTGAACGAGGAAGGGGATGGATAGTAGGGTAATTTTGTTTTGATATTAGAGGGTAATTGGATAATTTTTCTTTTCTATTTACTCTGTTAAATGGCAAACTCTGATAGGGGAGAATCTGAAATTCTCTACACCACAAGGGAGAATCCGTATTTTAGACAAACCTTAGAATGTATTTGTAATTTACCCTTTTACTTTCAACTTCAACATACAGGTGAACGCACAAACATTTAAACATATAGGGGGTGTTTGGCAAGTTGGGTTTGGGCAATTTTTTGGCTAAAATTTATAAAAAGATAAAATAACCTAAAATAGCCAATAAGACAATGTCACATCAAACTCATAATCATTTCACTTTTTATCTCACAAACATCACATCCAACTAAAAAAAAAAATCCAACTATCTTCCCAAACACAAAAATTTTAGCCTACTAAAACAGTCAAAAACTAAAATAGCCTACTAAAATAGCAACTTTCCAAACACCCACATAGTCCTACATGCATATTTATCAGCACATCAGCACCTTGGTATAAATACTAGTAATTGTGTTATGTGAAAAAAAATATGTGAAGTTAAAGCATATCCTGTCATGCATGAAAATTTTGAGAAAATAAAGTGCACACAAATCTGTACCAAATATGCAAATCAACATTTGCCCTTTTCATATAAAAAATATTAAATGCAATTTAGAATCAATTTCGAATCAAGACAATTTATTTAAAGAAATCACTCCATTCATAAATGGTACACGTAACATGAGTTTATGAGGACACTTCTGCAGCATCTACAAAATTTGACATCTTTTAACATTTATTATTTATTTTCGTTTGTGTTGATTTCTCTCTAGAAATTTATTTGAATGCCTTTGACCGATAGTGCTATATTTTTCATAAAAATATAAAAAAAGCAAGAAAAGAACAATCATGGCTTGCGGAAAATTTCCCGTCAAAGATCAAAGGTGATAACCTTGCAAACTTAAAAGTTGAGCCAATTGCATTAAACATGGTAAGATAAAAGCATAGTTGTTAACTAGAAGTCAAAACAAAAACTTTTTCAACTATAGAAGGTGAGAAACTACTTTCCAAAAGAAGGTAAGCATCAACCTTGATATGTTAAGCATATGAGTATGACTATTCCAAACATTCTAAAGCATTCTATTCTACATCCTGCATTTCCTATAGCATAAATTGAAAAAGATTTGAGAAATCTAATCATGTGACAACACCAAAAGAACCTGCATTCAAAATCAAGTTTTCCAATACCAGCCAAAATTACTTTGCAAGCTTTTATGATTTCAAGAATCAAATCTCAACAAATAAATAAGCATGCCAAATGCAGAGCTGAGACTATAAGGATGAACTAACTACAGTACCTGAGACTCTGCAATGGTCAAAACCATGGGAAGAATCATTGGTTGCATTACCATATTACGGAGCTCCGCACAAAGAGGTGGAAGAACCTGCATTGAATATCAAAATCTCCATTCACTGAACAGTTCATGTGCCCCAAACCAATAAAGGAGAATCAAGTTTAATAGAATATTTGACTGAAGCCCCGAAACTGCCAAAACAAAATGACCAAAAAAAAAAAAAAGAAGAAGACAAAAACTAAAAGAAAAAGAGCAAGATACAAAATAAATGACCCAAAAAAAATGAAGGTGTAGAACAACATTAGGAAATTAAGGTAAAGGCTGCCTATAATTAATTTTGTGGTGTGTGGGTATAGTGCAAGGAGAGGTTACAAGGTTTGGATCCGAAGATGCAGAAGAGAGTTTCTACAGTTTGCAGATAGAAATGGGTGAGATTTGACTTGGTTTGAAATAGTATGGATGCAGGATTTAAGAAATAGCAATGGTTTAGGGGGTTAATGAGGTTAGGATTGGTTAGAAACGAATAGCATGGGTGATGGGAAATGCAAACACTTTGGATAAAAAGATAATTAAAGATTTTTAACTTAGAACTTTATTTTATTTAGGAGTTTTAGTTGTTTAAGGAATTATATATATATTGGGATTTTGTTTCCTTCTGGGATTGTTCTTTAGTTAGTTGCCCATAAATACATGGATATGTGATAGGTTTGGAGGATGATATGATTTGAGACTATGATATGATTTTGGATCATGATTATTGAAATATTGATTTGGAATGGTGATTTTCCAGTTTCTTGTTCTTCTTTAGATCATTTGGTGCTACATCAATTTTGGTATCATAGCCAAGATTTTGATCCATTGTTTCTGTTTGATAGGCATGATTGCCTTCTTAATACGGCCTCATCGCATTGAACCATAATTTTGATCCATTGTTTTTGTTTGATCTGTTTGGTTGCCTTCTTCATATCAATGCTTTTAAAACCGGAACAGACTAGCTAGCCCATCAACCAGTCTAGGTTCCAATCCAAATAAGCCACAGAACCCGTTTTGAACAGAATTGGTGTATTTTTAAATAACTGTGATTGAGTCGGCTACCCATTCATGATACATTCTTCGGAATATATATGCAGAAAAGCAGCAAGACCATTCATTAATTGTAATGAAATTAGCCACCCAAGACAAGACAGATAAACTACTTAACAATATAACCTGAAAATAAAATTGAACTTCAAGCATTGTGAAGTCACTGTATTTCCAATTTTTCTTCACTAAACATATTTTAAGTCAAGATCTAACATCAAACTTGACAACTTGACAACTGTTGCAACACTGTTAAGTACAGAAAATGATTACAAGGATATAGAGCAGACTGCAAGCCCATATATTGTGCCGATTAGGCTATAAAATTGCATCATGAAAATGGGACAAGAAACTCAAACCTTATACCGCAATACACGGGAGTCAAAATCTTTCCACATGTCTGATAACGCCTTTAGAAACTCAGACTTCTGCATGTTATCTCTCTCCTGCAAGCGAATAAGATTAGTCATTCAAAATTGCATAATTTCCGCCAGCATTTGAACACATTATATTTCATGCATGATGTTTTTGGCTAATTCCTCCCAAGAAGCATATGATGACCAAGCTCAAAGTAAATGCCTACAAGCATGTGGTCCAGGAAGCGAAGAGCACGCAACCTAGTGTCATTCCGGAAAAAGGGAGAACCTGCAAAGAAAAAACAAAAATTTGAAAAACAATAAGATATGAAACAATGTAAATTGAATCTTTTAGATGTCAGGATAAGTATTAATGGAACATTTGATTCTACTTTGTTTCCCCTTTTACTCATTTTTTTTTTTTAAATTAATAATAGTTATATTCAAAAAATAAAGCACCACATATGGGGCGCAACCTTGTACACAATGAGTACACAAAACAAAAAACATATGGTATCCCTACTATGTATCAATGGAAAGTACACATAAACAAAAAACATATGGTATCCCTACTATGTATCAATGGAGATATACAACTCCCCCAAAACTGTTAGCAAAAGGGGACTAAAACTCACAAAAATAAGTTTTTGGCTCACTTTCTTTGAAAACAAGTTAAAGCACAACAGGAGATCCATAAAACTAAAGACGTAAAAAGTCTTCCAAGATTTAAGGCACTCACTGACTCCTTCACTCCTGCAAACTGTAGCAGCCCCCTTCGGTACAACTCTCACTTAAAAAAATGGGATTGGGGAGTGCGCAGAAGCCACTGTTGCGCGGCCAATGGGGATTTTTACGGGTCTCATTCCGATGAACCAAACCGTTCATTTTTTAAAAGATATCGAATAGAATATAGCTGCAAAAATTCAAGTTAATCGGACATCGATATCCCTTTCATCAAGACATATTTGTATCTAAAAAATTCATCAAGTCATGTTTGTATTTAGATTTATACTTAAAATTAATATACCATTCAATTTTTTAGATACCAATACGTCTTGATGAAAGGGATACCGATATCCGATTAACTTGAATTTTTGCAAGTATGTTCTACTCGATATCTTCTAAAACGTGAACAAGATCATCACAATGAGGCCCAGAAAAGGCCCTATTGGCCGTGCAACAGTGGCTGCTGGGCATGGTGTGCAGCAGCCTCCCCAAGCTCTAAAAAAATGGGATTAAAAGTTTAGCCCAACCTGGCCCAATGGGCTTCTATATAGATTCCAAGCTCTACAAAAATAAAGGATAAGCTGGGTGGGCCACCGACCTGTGCCCACCCCTACTTAGAGTAGAAGAAAATAGGGAAATTAAAGTAATACCTTACGTTTTTTCAAAATTTATCAAATTAATGTATCCTTAATGTGTCATACATGTATGATGTATCTGTGAAAATATTATGCTAATTATGTAAATATATTAGATTGATTGTGTAAATATTAGATTGATTGTAAGAATATACGTGAGAATATTATGCTAATTATGTAAATAGGTTTATTCTTATTTACTTTTTAGATTAGGTCTATAGAACTCAGGTGTACTCTTTGTATCATACACAATTGAATATACAGTTTCATTCAGGAATCTTACATAGTATCAGAGCCACCTTCGTCTGAATCATAGAACCGAAACTCCAGTTTGTGGCTTCCATCTTTGCCTCTGATTTATCGTCGGAGTCGTGCCTTGTCTACACCCTCTGTTTCGACTTTGAATCTCGAAGTCGAAGTCAACTCTCCAGTTCACCATCGATATCCCTAGTTCATTGTGAGTTTTTGGTTCGAGTAATCTAAGGCTCGCGATCTCACCCGAAGTTCTCTCTTCTTGGTCTTTTGTCTCAAGATCCTTAGCGAAACCCAAGCTATCTAGTTCGCGATCTGTGGTAGGTCGCCGAAATCACGATTCATCGTCACTCCTGACCTCTGGTAGAGTCGTCGACTCGTGAGCTCTCTATGTGGTTCTCTGGTCTTGTGGTCTCCTCACCTTTTGGGTCGATGTGGCCTTTCTCCTCCTGGGCTTTGATTTCTCAATCGCGATCTCCCTTTGGTTCTCTAGGAGCATTGCACCCTATTCGTCGCTGGTTTTCTAACTCTCTAAATGGCAATCTCTTTGAACTAGGTCTAGATCTTTGACCCATCTGGGTATTGTCATTTGATTCCTTATCTAAGGTGTTATTCCGTTGGAAATTTAGTGCTTATTATTCTGACCCTAGTGGATATCTCTATTTGCGTCTTGACACTCTTTTGTTTGGATTTTATATGTTGTTCTTGCTAGTTCATTACAATGATGGATGATAAGATTGCTAGACCCAAAAATAGGCTTTTGGCTTCAGATGAGTGTGCCTTCTACCATCAAAGAAATCATTGGAAGCATCATTGTACCAAGAAGGGACATCTGTCTACCTCGTCGTCTCAGCATCATTTGAGTACTTTTTGTTCTCCCACTGATTTTACTGCATCTGCTCCAGCTCCTGGCCCTGACTTGGCTTCCTTGAGTGCTCCGATTAGTCAGATTCAGCATATACTGTCTACCTCCCAGCCATCCCCGTCTGCCTCTATTGCTTCCTCTCTTTATTCAAGTTTGCTTGGGTCTTCTTCAAGTATCTCTTCGCCTGTCTGGATTTTTTACTCTAATACCTCTCAACATATAACTCCCTATCTCTCCTTACATCAAAATTGTACTCCTCCTCCCTTTCCTATTACTATCAATGCTACTAATGAATCTGATATGTCTATTATATATGTTTGGTCTGTCCTACCATTTGCTATATCTACTGTCTTTATTCCATCTGTCTTATATGTTCCTCAGTTATCTGTTAGTTTATTATCTATTAATCAGCTTGATGCCTCCGATTTTGATATTATCTTTTCTTCTTCCATCTGTTTTGTACAGGATTGGATGTCCAAGCAGATTGGGACTGACCGTAGAATTAGAGACCTCTATGCGGTGGAGAGCTTGCATCTACCTATGACTACCTTTCCGATTGCCTTTTCCTCTTTTCAGTTAGATTCTCAGTCAGGTATTTTAAGTAAAATTTCTCCTAATCAACTTAACAAGTATCAAGAGTGTAAATTTGCCAAAATGACAGCCTTACCTTTTCGTAAAAGTACTTCTACATCTGATACACTGTCTTCCTTAGTTCATACTGGTGTTTGGAGTCCTTCTCTTGTTCTCACTAAAAGGGGTTCTACATAATGTGTCATTGGTTGATGACTATACTCGTTACACTTGGGTTTACCTTATGACTCATAAGTTTGACTTCTACCAAATATACCGTACTTTTCAGTCTATGGTCACTACACAGTTTGGCTCTACTATTAAATTGTTATAGTTTGACTTGGGCGGGGAATATTTTAAAACTAAGTTCTGTGAGTATTTAGCCACTTTGAGTACCATTTACCAGACTTCCTGTACTGATACACATGCCCAAAATGATCGCGTTGAGCGTAAACATCGTCATCTCCATGAGACAGCTAGGTCTCTCCTTCTCTCTACCACTGTTCCGGCTCTATTTTGAGATAAGGCAACTCTTACTACTGCTTTTTTTCTCAACCGTAAGCCTACTTCCTTTTTCTCTGGTCGGTCTCCTTATGAGGTTCTGTTTTCTCAACTTCTCAATTACTCCCTCCTATGTGTGTTTGAATCTGCTTGTTGTCCTTTTACCCTGTACAGATAGGACCAAATTGAGTGTCCGGTCTGTCTTATGTGTCATTTTGGGTTAAAATCTCACTCAAAAAGGTTATCGCTGTTATGACCCTATTTCCCGTCACCTATATGTCTCCCGCCATGTTGCATTTCTTGAACGTCTACCTTACTTTTAGCTTCCTCCTCTCACCGCCCAGTTTCCAAAGAGAATTTGGTTCATATTGATTCATTTCTTTTTGTGGTCCTTGATGAGTACATCTCTGTTGATCCCCCATGAGCTTGTTCCTTCTCCTCGTCCCACCCCGCCTAATGAGTCCCTCTCCACTAACCCCCAGAAGTCTATTTCCCCTTCTCCTTCCCCTTACCTGCTCCTGCTCATGCTCCTTCTCCTCCTCCGTTGTTAGTCTATTCTCATCACAAGGCTCTCCTTCCACCAATTGTCTCTTCCCCTACTGTTGACCCCCCTACTTCTGACGACTCTAATCTTGCAAACCATAAGTAGTCAAACTTCATTTTGCTAAAATATGTTTTTCTTCGCATTTGTAAACAAGTAGTCAAACTTCATTTTGCTAAAACATGTTTTTCTTCTTTATACTGTACATTTTTGTTTACTATTCACTCTTTTTCAAAACCTCAATCTTACAAGGAGACTTGTCAGGATCCTCATTGAATTCAAGCTATGGAGGATGAGTTGCCTGATTTGCAAAAAAATAGTACATAGGAGTTGGTTCCTTTGCCTACCGATAAGAATTTGATTAGTTGCAAATGGGTCTACAAAGTCAAAACTCATTCTGATGATCCTATTGAGTGCTACAAGGCTCACTTGATAGCCAAGAGTTTTTCACAGAAGTATTGTATTGATAATGAGGAGACCTTTGCCCCTGTTGTCAAGATGACTATTGTCCGTACTTTGATATATGTCGCTATTATTTGTCATTGGCCTCTTTATCAGATGAATGTTAAAAATGCTTTTCTTAATGGCCACCTCACTGAAGAGGTTTACACGCGCGTCTTTCCCTTGGCCTTCCCCATTCCTCTGGACAGATTCTCATCTTCAGCGTGCTCTATATAGTTTGAAGCAATCCCCTCGTGCTTGGTATGATTGCTTTCAAGCTACTGTCACTCAGCTTGAGTTTCATCCTAGTGCCCAGGATTCAGCTTTGTTTCTCCTTCACACCTCTGCTAATTTTGTTGCCCTGTTACTGTATGTCGATGATATGATCATCACTGGCTTTGACTATTCTGCTATCTCTGAGATCAAGTAGTATCTCTTCCGCACTTTCGAAATGAAAGATCTGGGCCCCTTGCGATATTTTCTTTGTATAGAGGTAGCTTCTTCTCCTAAAGGCTACTTTCTATCTCCAGCTAAGTACGCAATTCATCGTACCGGTCTTACTGACACTAAGATGTCTAATATCCTCATTGAGCTTAATTTGACACTTAACACTACTGATGGTGTCCCTCTAGATGATCCTACTTTATATCGAGAGCTTGTGGATTGCTTAGTCTATCTAACTGTCACTCACCCTAATCTTGCCTATTTTGTTCATGTGGTTAGCCAATTCATTTCAGTTCCTCGTTCTACACATTGGGCTGTTTTGATTCGCATTCTTCGCTATCTCCAGGATACTATATTTTAGGGCTTACTATTGTCTTTCACTTCCTCTTTGGACTTGGTGGCCTATATTGATTCTGATTGGGCTGGTAATGTTACTGATGGCAAGTCTACTTCTGGCTTCTATATATTTCTTGGTGATTTCTTGATTTCTTGGAAGAGCAAGAAACAAACTGTTGCTACACGTTCCACTGGCGAGGCTGAATACCATGCTATGGCTCACGCCACTGCTGAGATTGTTTGGCTTCGTTGTCTCTTATTTGATTTGGACATACCTCAGTCTTCTCCGACCTCACTTTACTATGACAATCACAGTGCTATTTAAATTGCCCATAACACTATCTTTCATGAGCGAACAAAGCACATTGAGATTAATTGTTATTTTGTTCGTCAGCATATGTAGTCTGGCTTCATCTCGCTTCCTTTCATCTCTTCAGCACTTCAACTTGCTGACTTATTTACCAAGACTCACATCACTGCTCATTTTCAGTTCCTTCTTGGCAAACTCTCAATATTTTCTACTAAAACATCTTGAGTTTGAGCGGAGGTGTGAAAATATTATGCTAATTATGTAAATATATTAGATCAATTATGTGAATATTAGATTGATTCTAAGAATATAGGTTTATTCTTATTTCCTTTTTAGATTAGGTCTATATAACTCGGGTGTACTCTTTGTATTATACACAAGTGAATATACAGTTTCATTCAGGAATTTTACAACATCCTATATCCATATCCATACTTTGTAGGAAGTAAGGATACAAAATATATAACGATATTAAAATCGAATTTCAATAATTAAAGAAGTAAACATGTGTACAAGTGTGAAACGGAAAAGCACATGGCCAACATAAACAATTTAGACTTGATATTGAAATGATTTACAAGACTAAAAAAAAATTTAAAGTAGTTGCTATTGGCCCTTAAACTAATAATTAATTTCTGAAGAATGGTTTCACACAATTCTTTGAGCTTAAAAATTATGTACTTTTTACAAACAAATATGTATACATGTTTAGGTTTTGTCGTATTCTACTTTTTACCTGTATTCTGTTTGTTTAGGTTTTGTAACATTGTATCTGTGTACATGCTTCATGGCTAAAAATATAATTAAGGGGAAAAATAATTACAGATAACATTTTTGTTTGATAAATAGATTTAAACATCAGATATTCTTACTCATAAAGTCCAAGGCTGTTGGCCTAGAGGTCTCATTTGCAGACAGCATTTTCTGCAAGTCAGGAACTAACTCTGCCGGGATGGATGAGAAAGGCCCACTGGATAAGTAAGTCAAATTATTCATGTACTGCGGGCAAGAATCACAAGTAATAAGCACTATTAATCAAATTTAGTATATATATATATACAAGAAGAAACTAAAAGAGAAGAAAGGAATACCTTAAATAAACATTGCATATTCATTGCAGATATATTGATAGAATTTTGAGAAAATGAAAAAAATATTTCATCTAAGTACAACTTTGACGTAATAATTGTAATCTTTGGAAGCACAAAAACAAGGTCTAAAATGAATAATTCCCCGAGTAAGGAAGCTAATAATTTAAAAAAATCAAAAATCCAGAGGGAGCAGGCGGGATGCCAGTATGTAGCGTAGACGCCTTGGTGTCGGTCTGTATTCCCTAAGTCTTGTCATGTATATGAATATTTAACTCAACTATAATAATTTTTGAAGTCTAAAAGAGGAGAGTATGTATAAATTGACATTGTTTTTATTTTATCATTGGGTTTCAAGTTGTTTTATTCAAACTTGTAATGTGCTTCTTGTGTGTCTAAGTTTTAGGAAATGTCCGACGAGTGTTGTGTTGTGTTGTGTCGGTGTCGGACACAAAACATTACCTTCTTAAAAGTGTCCATGCTTCTTAGACCTACACTCACCCAAACCCCACTTCGTCGGAACTTGACAATTTATAAGTCTCATCTACTAATTTTTTAATATTAACAAAAGTACTTGCATAACATAGATGCGGCCTAGAACTGAGACATACTGAGGACAGGAAGAAAAACATTAGTCATAGATGCAAGATAATTTACCCAATGTTATTAGAGGTGCGACTAAGGGCTCGCCTAAACGCTAAGCGAGGCGAGGCGAGGCGAGGCGAGGCGACGATGTAGCGCTTCATACTCACTAAGGCGAGGCGAGGCGAGGCAAAATGGTGAAGCGAAGTCGAAGCGCATGAAACGAGGCTTAGGCAACGAAGCGAGAGGTGATGCGAAGCGACGCTTCACCAGTTTTTGTCTGATTTCAGTTCAAAAGATCTAGGCCCTTCATTTGGATGACTTTTGTGTTATTTGTGGACATGTGCTGCACTTTATAATTGTTTTCTACTAAATAAGAAGTTGAAACCCTAAGTCGACTTCGTTCCAATCGACATTTGCTTCAAACAACCTCACTGATTACCAGCGTCTTCTTCTTCCTTCTTCGGACTTCGTTCCAGTCGGTTATCAAAGGTGAGTACCTACTTCTTCTTCCTTTGTTCTTTTTCTTCCTTTCTTCTCTTCGTCTTCTCCTGCTGTTGCTGCTTCTTCGTCTTCTTTTCTTCTTCTTCCTTTCGTCTTCTTTTCTTCTTCCTTTCTTCATCTTTTTTTTTTTTTTTTTTTTTTTTTTTTTTAAAAAATTTTTTTTTTTTAAAAAACCCCTTTTTTTTCCCCTTTTTTTTTTTTTTTTTCCTAGTTCTTGTTTTTGTTTCTTTTCTTATTTTGCTGAAAATTTTTTCAATTAATTTACTAAATTGATTTTACAATTATTTAATCATTTTGTTGTGTTATTTTACAATTATTTTGCTGTGTTAATTGTATAATTATTTTGCTAAAAAAATTTCAATTAATTTTGCTAAAAAATTTCAATTATTTTGCCGCTAAAAATATGTTGTTCTTTGATTTCTTTATGCTGAAACTGTTTATTTCTTTGCACTTTAATTGTTTCTTCGTTTCATAACATTGAATTGCTTGGTTGGTTAGAATTAGATGTCAAAGTCAAGAGAAAGTAAAAAAAGATCCGTCATGACAATATGTACAGATGGTAAATCCCCAAAATCTTGCAAAGTTCATTTGCAACTTTTGTGACAAAAAAATGAATGGCGGTGTTTACCGAGTCAAGCAACATCTTGCTGGTGGTTATAAAAATGTTGTTGCTTGTAAAAAATGTCCATCACATGTCAAAGATGAGATTAAAGACTATATGTCTAAAAAAAGTCAATCAAAGGTGCAATTGAGGATGGTTCCTGATTTTGAAGAGATGGATAATGATGATGATGAAGATGAAGATGATGAAATTCTTGAGATAAATCAACATGATAAAAGGCCTATTTCTACTCAAGGTTCTACCCATCGAAAACAAGGAAATAGCTCCTCCAAATTTGTTGCTTCCAAACAACCAAAGCAAAAGGGACCCATGGATGTGTGCTTTGCCCCTGATCGGGAAGTTACGGTGCAAAATCGTAAAGCCAAGGGAAAGCAAACAAGAATTGATGATAATGATCCTAGCAAGGTGTTGACAGATCGGGCTCTTGTTAGGTTTTAGAGGTGAATGTATGATACAGGTATACCTTTCAATGTTGTGAACTACAATAGTTTTGAGCTAATGGTTGAAGCTATTGGGCAATATGGTCCTGGCATGAAACCACTAAGCAACCATGAGGTGCGGGTTCCTTATTTGCAGAAAAAGGTAGACCACACTAATAAGACCACGGAGGATCATAAAAAAGATTGGGTAACATATGGATGCTCTTTAATGACCAGTGGATGGAAGAACAAAAGAAATAGGGCATTAATTAATTTTTTGGTTAATTGCCCAAGAGGATCAATGTTTATTGAATCCGTTGATACTTCTAGCTTATCCAAGGATACAAATAAGATGTTTGAATTGCTTGGCAATTTTGTGGAGCGTATTGGTGAAGCCAACGCGGTTCAAGTTGTTACAGATAGTGCCTCAGCAAATGTGTTGGCCGGTTAGTAACCTAGTAGTATACATTTACTTAGTACTTACTTACAATATGAATATGCAATTCTCATATTAAAAACTCATTCTTTTTTTTTAACTTGTAATAGGGAAGTTTTTGGAGACAAAGCGGCCATATTTGTATTGGACACCATGTGCAGCTCATTGCTTGGACTTGATGTTGGAGGACATTTTCAAAATTCCCAACTTTAACAAGACATTTGAAAAAGCAATTGTGATGCATGGTTATATTATAAACCGCTCTGGTTTGTTGAATATGATGAGGCAATTTACCCAGTGCAAGGATTTGATCCAAGCCAACAAAACTCGATTTGCAACTGTTTTCTAACTTTATCAAGGATTCATCAACAACAAACTAACTTGAAGAAGATGTTCACTTCAGAGGAATGGACCACAAGCAAATGGGCGAAAGAACCACAGGGTAAAAAGACAGCACAAGTCATATTAATGCCTTCTTTTTGGAACACTGTTCTTTATGCTCTCAAAATATCGAGTCCTCTTGTTCATGTGATGCGATTGGTTAATGGTGAGAGAAAGCCTCCCATCGAATATATTTATGAGGCAATGGATAGGGCTAAAGAAGCCATTGCAAAATCATTTAATGGAAATGAAGAGAACTACAAGAAGTGTTTTGAAATAATTGACAATAGATGGAATGTTCAATTGCATAGGCCTTTGCATGCAGCTGGATATTATTTAAACCCCGAGTATTTTTATGCAAATCCGAATATTGAGAAAGATAAGGAAGTCATGTCAGGCCTGTATAAATGCATACAAAGGTTGGTCCCAAACAGTGAGACACAAGATAAAGTTTGCGTAGAGTTGACTACCTATAAGAAAGCTGAAGGTCTCTTTGGGATGGCTTTGGCCATTAGACAGAGAACTACAAAGGCACCGGGTGATCTATATTTTATACTTAAGTAATTTTAGTTAGTTTTTTATATTTTAAATATTCTTTTTAATTAATTAGTTATAATCAACAGCTGATTGGTGGAGTGCATGCTGTTCTGAAACACCACATTTGCAAACATTTGCCATCAAAATTCTTAGTCTAACTTGTAGTGCATCTGGATGTGAGCGGAATTGGAGTGTGCTTGAACATGTGAGTACCTATTCTTAAATGTAGTGAATATGAATACCCATAAATTTATTAATACCTAGATAAAAATTTGAATATTTTTATTTGGTTTGAATTTTTGCAGATTCACACCAAAAACAGAAATAGGTTAGCTCAAAAACGTCTGAATGACTTGGTATTTGTCAAGTATAATAGAGCATTGAGACGTCGATACAATTCCTGTGACACAATTGATCCCATCGCTTTGACAGATATTGATGAAAGTAACGAGTGGTTGGTTGGGAGGATGGAGGAGGAACTTGTCTTTGAGGATGATACTTTGACATAGGATGTTGTTGCTAGAGCTGCTGGAGTTGAGGAAAGTAGCCAAAGAACTAGATCAACAAGGACAATAGAAAGGGGTCGTTCAACTTCAAAATCAGCAGCTAGACCTAGATTACAACTTATTGATGAGGAAAAGTCAATTTCAGATGGAGGAGAGGAAGAAGATGCGGAGGGATATGATAAAGCCAATGATAATGAAGAAGAAGTTCATTTGCTTGATGTTGAAGATGATTTTTAGAACCTTTGGATTGTTAGATTGTATTTGTCTTTATTGGATATTTTCTGTTGTTTACGGATATTTAGTATTTTGAATGATAAATGCATGATGGTTCTTGAAAATATTTATATTTTTGTCTATACTATTTATTTTTTTAAAAAACTTCGTTTGTGGTTGCCTCGATTTGATGAAGCCCTCGCCTCGCCTCGCCTCGCCTTGCCTTGTCGCCTCGTGCTTAGGCGTTAGGAGACCTTGTCGCCTCGGTTCACTTTTTGCCTTAAAAAACATTGAATTTACCCCCAAAAAATATATAAATGAATAAAAAGACACATAAGAAGCATGATATAGTGATGTTGAGTTGAGACAAAAATTATCAAAAAAATTAGGATACGACATGACATGGATAAAGGTATAAATAAATATATTTGCATATATAAATTAAAATTAAAATAATAATCACAATTTTTTATTTATTACATTACAAATACATTTATATTTTATTATATCAAAATAGAAATTATTTCCACATACTATATATTCAAAAACAAGTGTGAACAAAAATAAAAAACCTAACATCTATTTTAGAAAGTTTTATTCATAAACAAATTAAAAGTTTTAGGCTTTAAAATTTCTAAAATTTAAAAAGCCTATAAGAAGAGGGAGTAATAATTATCAAAACCACAGTGTTTTGATTTTAAACGTTGGCACCCAAACTATTTTATCCATACTTGCAATGTGTCTCACACGTATTTAAGCAATAGACACGTGCACCACCCAAGTGTTTGAAGCATGTTTGGTTCTAAAAAGTTCACCGGAGATTGTCCTAAAATAACCTTAAAATATATAAATGACAAAGCATGCGCAATTAAGAGGAAAACAAATGAATCAATAGACTATTTCATAAAATCAAGACTAAGTCTCAAAACAAATGAGAAAACATTAAATTAAGCAGCATAATGAAACCTATGAAGCATGGACACGGCAGATTTCATGTCGTGGCAGTGTCTGACACAGGGACACACCAGGGACACGTACGGGACACGCCGGGTGGTGTGTCCCTTTAATTTAATTATTTTTTTTGCAGGGGACACGGCGGAGACGCGTGTCCAAATCTGAACACAAAGAGCAAAAAAGAAGAGTAAAGGTCTTGAAACAAACCTGGACTTCGATCCAATCGATTCGCCTATCGATCTCCATGACTTCGACCACCGTAAGCCGTCGACCTCAACCTCTATCCCCTTTGACTTCGACGATCCAGTCGCCCTTCGACTTCAACGAGCTCTCTCTCTCCCCTTCTCTCTCTCCCTCGCGATCGATCGCCACCCCTTCTCTCTCTCCCTCGCGATCGATCGCTTCTTCCTCTCTCTCTCTCTCTCTCACGTCTTGATCTTCTTTCATCTTCTTGATTCATATATATATATATATAACTATTATTATTATATAATAATACTTTTAGTTATTATTATATAATAATAATAATAACTGAAAGTATTATATTATAATAGTTATAAGGATGACATCAACTTAGTTATTATTATATAACTATTATTATTATGTAATAACTACTATTATTATATAACTATTATATTATATAACAGTTATTATACATATAATATATTTATAAGATAATATATACTTATACATATTAATAAAATAAAAAAAACATGTATGTAAAATAAAATAAAATAAAAAAATTAATTGGAACACATTATTTAAAAAATATAATGAATAAATAAAATAATTAACGTATATTAAAATAAAAATATTTATAAAAAAATTAAAAAATCTGCCGCGTCCCCTATCATGTCCATGTCCCCATTTTTTAAAAATTGTCGTGTCCCGTGTCTGTATCCGTATGCGTTCCGTGTCCGTGTCCGTGTTTCATAGAATGAAACCCCAGATTTATGTACGTAAAAGATTAGGGAGAAATGACAATCCTCCATGACAAAGTGCTGGAAATTTGTGTTAATGCATATAATAAGATAGTGGCATATGATAGTGGTGTTGGTGGTAGACAGTGGCATGTATAGAATATGATAGTGGTGTTGGTGGTAGATAGTGGCATGTATATAATATGATAGTGGTAGATAGTGGTAATATATAATATGTAAGTGGCATATAATGGGTTATAATGATGTTTGTAATATCTCCTATATAAGGAGTGTCATCTGGTCTTGTAAAATAAGAAGTTTTGAATATAACAGAAATATATTCCTTCTTCCTCATATTTTCGGAGTTCTTCTTCCTCATATTTTCTAAGTCAAAGGGACGGGCATAAGATAATAAGCTACTCTCTCGTTCATCAAAGAGCATCTATTTGTAATTATAAACAATGTGAACAATCAATTAGATAAAATTAACTGGCTTATATCATAACCATACCATTTTGACATTGTTGTTGCAGTCGAACAAAGGCTTGCAAGCAATCAAGTGGTAGGCAAGGCACCCGAAACTGAAAATATCAGAAAAACATCCAACTGAAGATGTTTTACTCCGAACCAGTTCAGGAGCAGTGTAATTCAGAGATGGCTGAAGGGGCAGTAGAGAATCCTCAACGTCATATTCCTGTTCAATTAAAATCCAATTAAAAAATACAGTTAGTGGTTGGAAAAACACTTCAATTCATCTTTGGACCAAAGTTCCATGAGCTAGAGCTCATAGCAAGCCTCCTGTGAAACTGGCTAACCATCCAACACCCTATAATAAAGCTTAAAGAACAAAGTACATCATTTTCTACCATCATTCAGAGAGTTCCTATGCAGTATAAAATGAATCAAAATTGTTCGTAAATCAACTGTCATATTGGATAACATACGGAAGAGGAATAAGGGTCAAAGTAAAGAGTCAACTAATCCAATGTACACCCTGTGGCATGCATACAGAGCAGATAAAAACATTCTTTTTAAAAATTGAACCCAAAGAAACAATTTAATATCAAATTATCAAAAAAGAAGGAAAAATGGTAGAGATTGAATTGAACTAATCATTTTTCCCTAGTCCTAATATGTTCACTCACAGAATAATGGAAGGCCTGCACATTAGCGACATCGCCAGACTGATCTGCCGAGATTGCAAAACCAAATCCACCAAGCTTCCAAGCACCACTTGAAGTAATGAGGATGCTCTGCAACAGTAAATGAGCAACTACTTTGTCATTTAATCTACAGATTGCAAGACACGTTTACAAATTTCAACATAAATTTTTGGGTAATCAATAATGATCTACACTGAGGTTTAGAAAAAACACAAGTCTCACTGTTTTGGCATAAAGACACCAACAGAGCTAACAGCATATACAAAATTACTTTGTTTTTCTCCCTTTTCATTGGCTAGAAATTTACTTAATTAGCCTCATCACTTTCCTTACCTTTAGGAGCCATCAGATTGCTTCCCCCCATAATCCACCCTCAATCTGCCACCTCTTTTCTTCCCATTTCCGCATCCCCTCGCTCTCCTCTCCTTTATCATCCATCAAACTACCTCCCCCAACTGCCATCACCCTCAGCCCACCTCCTCCCCTCTATGAAACCTTTGTCTTCTCCCCCCAAATTTCCCCAAATCCGTTGAGACAAGCATAGAAACCTTGAAAGGCCTGAAAGGCCCAAATCTTTTTTATCTCATTTCAAAAATAGGGAGCTCTGGATTAAATAATGGTACCAAGCACTGTTGAAGTTTGTGGGTTGCAAAGGGAAAGACAGCGTGGTGCAATGGCAGTTATTTAGTAGCAGCAACTCTGTGGGTTGTAACTTTTAGTGACGTTGGATAGCAAAGGGTGGCATGTTGCAAAGGTTGGTCTGGGTGTGGTTGGTGGAGGTCACTGTTGTGGTGGAGCTGGGCCAAGGTTGGACTCATTGCAGATGGTATTGACAACCAATGGTCTGGAGGAAGAAAGTTGGTAGCTGGTGAATGGGGGAGGCCAGGGTTGTGGTAGAGGTGGGCCAAGGTTGGCACTCAATGGTTTTTAGATGTTGTCGTGTGTGAGATTCAAACAAAATTAGATTTGCAAAAACAATCGATGTGTTTGGTTTGAGTTTTTTGGATTAAATTTTTTGAAAACTGAGTTTTTTGATTTTCGTGTTTTTTTGTTTTTAGTGAATATTTTTAAAATTTTAAACATTTTTTTTACTTTTTTAGATGCACCTTACTTAGATGTATTCAAAAAGTAAAAAAATTGTGAAAAAATATTTTAAAAAATTAATAAATACATAAAAATACAAAAAAAAATGTACATTCTCGTTTTTTTTTTTTTTTGTATTTTTGGTATTTAATGAATTTTTAAAAGGTTTTTTTCACAATTTTTTTACTTTTTAGGTATATTTATGTTAGATATGTCTAAAAAGTAAAAAAAAAATTGCTTAAAATATTAAAAAAATTCAGAAAAAACAAAAAAATACGAAAAACAAGAAAGTAAAATTTTCTGAAAAATGTTTTTAAAAAAATGGAACCAAGCAAAGTAAATTACTCTAAACTAGTTCGATGGCTTCCCATTTTGAATCTATCTACGAAAAAGGCCTATTCGTAGCACAATCTCAATATCAATTTTGAAAGTCTCTATTTTTTGGTGATTAACAATATAAGGGCTTAGGCCCCGTTTGAAAACAAACTGTTTTAGTAATTTTTTTTGCTTTTGCAAAAAGATGTGCGAAATAGAAAGAATGATGTGATAACTTATAGTGGCTTTTTGACTTTTTAGCTAAAACTAAAAGTTGCCAAACAAAGCCTAGTAGCAAGAATATCCTATAGGAGCCTCGCTCCTCACTCCTACTCACACCCCAACCCCAATCTCTTTTATAGGGCCCTCACTCCCCCATCCCAGCTCCCACTTCATGCAACTATGTGAAAGCGAATCCATGATATTAATGCACATAAATTGTTTGATAAGATGTCTATGAGGAAGTTGTACTCTTCGAACAATATGTTAAGGTGGTGGTGGCTGCATATTGTGGTGGTTTGGTGGCTGCAATATGGATGAGCATGTCTAAAGCTATAGAGGACAAAATCGGTATTTTACTGTATAAAGTATGACAAAATCACATTTTATTAAATTGACAAACGGATAACTGATAGATAACTAACGGGATGGGGCTAAATGTCATGCAATTTCATGTATTAAAGGATATGGCATAATTAAATCAACACTGTAAAATTAACTATATTTTTTCTCATTACTCAGGGGAGGTCAATGTAATTTACCCTAAATTTTTATTTACACATAGATGGAGCAATAAAAAAAGTAAAAAATGTACTTGCCGAAAACCTTAATAGGAATTGTGCATATAGCCTTTTATTAATATTATCTAAACAACTAGGGAAATGAAAAGGAAATATATATTACAAAATACAAAACTAGAACTAGAGTGAGACAGAGAAAGAGATAAGCAAAGTAACTGATAACCTCAGGAGATACTGCCCGATGAATAAGACGTGCATTGCTATGGAGGAAGTTCAAGGATTCTGCAATTTGAAGCAGACCATGCTTCACCTCCAACAATCCCATTTCCTACAACAGAGGAACTCATTTAGAAAACTACAGATAAGACAATAATAGATTGTAAATATACAACATAATGGATATTGAAGCCAGAAAATTATTACACTTTTCCCAAACAAAATGACATATATTCTTGATGGGGTAACTGGATAAGTTCCATATAGGCCAAAGCAAAAGCAACTAGCCCAGGAAAGGCTTCTAAATCCTTTTGATCATCATATTTTTCTACTCTGTTAATACATTAGTTGTCCTAGATCAAGGTGCAAAAAACGAAAACAAAATATGAAGTGTTCTTTCTTCACAAAATAAACAACAAAAACTCAAAAAGATTTGAAGGATTCATTAAATCAATCCAAACTAAGCCTCATGTCTCATTCAAATGAGGTTGGTTATATTAATACTTTTTTACTATTTTGCTCTGTTAATGACTATCTATGAAGCATAGGTACTCCAAAAAAAGTGTCATACGAGTACCAGGTACTTACCGGGTGTGGGTACGCGTACCGGAACGTTGCCGGATACGCCGAATACATGCCGAATATGACAAATACATTTGGATACGTCATGGGTACGGCATTGATACATAGTGGGTACGGCACCAGTACGACGAGGTTTTTTTTTTTTTTTTTTTTTTACAGCTGCTAGAATTTATTATAGCCTTTATTATTCTTCTTTCAATTTTGAAAATATCAATCAATTTATTTCTAACACCTTTTACCTATGAGTCATGGTTTTACTCTCTTTTGCATTATGTTTTAGACAATCAAAAAAGAAAAAGAAAGAATTATATAACTTTTTAAATAAGTTTTTCTTTTTTTAATTTTGATGTTTTAGACAATCAAAAAAGAAAAAGAAAGAATTATATAACTTTTTAAATAAGTTTTTCTTTTTTTAATTTTGATTTGTTTGTTGAATGTTTAGCTATAAATTTTAAATAAAAAAATTGACGTACCCTAACCGTACCTATACCCGTACCCTACTTTTTTTAGAATTTGTTATATCGGCGTACCCGTATCGTACCCGTACCTGCACCCGCACCCATGCTTCATAGATGACTATGGGGTGGTTTGGCATAAACTAAATAACTGCACTTTTTTGCAAAAGTACACTTATTTAGGCCACATCAATCAACATCTCCTATTTACTTTTCTACATATCTTTTTATAAAAAGTCAAAAAGTGCGCTTATTTAGAACATCTCAAACCACCCCTATATATATATTTTTATAAATTGCTTTGTCGATGACTATATGCTCAGTTAAATTAAATAAATTCATATATTTTTTTTACTATAGCATCTCATGTCAGTTTAGGTCTTTCCCTCCCCCTAACATTTTCATTTATGGTGATCATATTACTCTTCCTTACTGTTACACATACACTATAGCTCTTCTTTATACATAACCAAGCCATCTTACCCTATCCTTTCTCAACTTATCTTCAACTAGTGATACTTCTACCATTTCACAAATTTATTCATTTCTAGGTCAATCGTTCCTAATCTTACTATACATCCATCTAAGCATTCTCAGCTTAGTTACACTCATTTTATGAGCATGTTGTTTCTTAAATGCTCAGCATTCTGTCTCTATCCAATAACGCATTGATGGCATTATAGCATTTGAAGGATTCAATATTATTTTAAAATCTAAGTATTGTCTCTCCATGCAAGTCTTGCCTGAACTATTTTCATAGTTAAACCATGCAAATTCCATATGGCATCTATCTAGGGATAACATTGTTGAAATTTAAACGGTCATGCCTATCAACAAACTAAAGATTCAATCTTCATATGGGTTTTCATATAATCCATGAAGATTCAAATTGGCATTCACTGAATTCCACAAGCAAAGATTCAGATGGGCATTTACTAAATCACACACCGTGGAAATTCAAAAGAGTAATTGAAAATTTCTACAAATACCCAATATCCGATTGCCATTCACTAAGTAACATCCAACCAAACAAAAGTCAACAAATTCTTCAAAATTCAAAATTGACCCATCATCGTCCCTACATACCATCCACTGTGCTTGGCTGGGGTATTTGAAAAGAGAAAAGATAAGTGAAATATGAATAAAATATAGATACATTTCACATAATTTCACACGCATTGCCCTCTCCATATCCAAATCCTTTCCCAAATCCTCCAACCAAACCAAACACAGCGTTAAGCTCCTTGGGCACCTTTGCAACGTATCAACAAAACAAAAATGCAAACTTCAGATGGGTTTTCACATAATTCATGAAGATTCCACAAGACCAAGCAAAGATTCAGATGGGCATTTACTAAGTCACACAGAAATCCAAATGTATAATTGACAAATTCCATAAATACCCAATTATCAGATTGGCATTCACTAACATACAATCAAACAAAAGCACAACAAATTCTTCAAATTTTCAGAATTCAAAATTGACCCATCATCACTACCTACCATCCCTTTAAGCTCCTTAGGGACTTTGGCAATATTATCCACATTCCCAAGCGCATTAGCTACCGACGCAAACAACGGCTCAGTCACCATCGCCATGGCATACTTGCTCTCATCCAAAGCCTGGACCACATGAACTACCCCAGGGTGCCTCAACCTCACGAGCCGCGCCGCATCGGCTCGAACAACGTCGAAAAACGAGTCCTCAACGGACTTAGACAAGCCGGCTCGCACGCGAGCCTCGGAGAGAGTCCGCTTGTCGAGGAGCCAGACGCAGACGGTGGGGTACTGGTGGGAGAGAGCCGATCCAGAGCGAGCTTTGGCGGAGTAGAGCTTCCAGACGAGGCCTGGACCGGCGGAGCCGATCTGGTCGAGGAGGTCGTAGTCTTGGAGGGGTTTGGGTCCGGTGACTTCTTGGACCGTGGTCTGTACGGTTTTTTCGATGACCGCGGCGGTCTTGGCTAGGGCTTGGGTTAGGGTTTTCATGTTCAGAGACATGGTTTGGTTAGGGTTGATGATGATTGTGATTGTTGAGCTTTTTTTGATGATCGTGGTGGAGGGGACGAGAATCAGATCTCGCCTCTCTCTCTCTCTCTCTCTCTCTCTAGTCACTCTCCCTAATTTCTCTCTCTAAGGATCATACCGTGTGTGTATTTCTCTCTCTAGATTCGACATTTGCTTCCATGCTTTCTCTCTCTTCACAGAAATGTCATCAACGTTATTTTCCATTGAGACTGTCAGCCGAGTTGTTTACTGTAAAAACAAAACAAAAAAAAACAAACTTGTACCGTCTCCAGCGGGGTCGGGTTTTATTTATTAAGTTTTATCATAATAAAAAAAAAGAATATATTATTGTTATTAAAAAAAAAAATTTGAGAAATAGACCAATAAATCTCATATTTTGAGCATATAACTTATATAGGTCCATATTTTTTTTTTGATCCATTTAGTTTTTTTTTTTTTTTATGTCTAATGACTCATTTACCTACCATTTTGAAATGTCACATTTAAAAAAAAGTACACTAAAGAGTTTTTTAGTATCACATTATATCTACTACGTTAGAGTGTCACATTTGGAAAAAAATACTCTAAGGGTTGGTTTGGGAAGTGGATTGACTTTTTGGCTTTTTTGACTATTTTAGCCTGGGCTAAAAAACTTGGTTTTGGAAGGGCTTTTTGATTTTTTGGATTTTTTGACTTTTTTTGTGAGAGAATAGTGTAATGATTATGGGTTGGATGTGACATTTGGTTTGTTGTGGCAAAAATAGCCTATTTTGTCTTTTGTGACTATTTTAGCCCCAAAATCACTTGCCAAATACCACCTAAAGAGTTTATTTTTTTGCAATATCAAATCATATCATACTCGTCACGTTAGAGTGTCATATGTCACGTTTGAGAAAAATACACTAATGAATTTTTAATTTTTTTTGGTGTCACATCATACCAGTCACGTTATCACATTTGAAAAAAAGTATTCTAAGCCTCCGTTTGGAAAGTGGGTTGGCTTTTTGACTTTTTGACTTTTTTGACTATTTTAGCCTGAGCTAAAAAGCTTGGTTTGGGAAGGATTTTTTGACCTTTTAATTTGTTTTGTGAGAGAATAGTGTAATGATTATGGGTTGGATGTGATGTTTTGTTTGTTGCGACTAAAATAGCCTATTTTGTCTTTTGTGACTATTTTAGCCCCAAAATCACTTGCCAAACACCACCTAATGAGTTTTAGGTTTTTTTAGAGTGCTACATCATATCCGTCACGTTGTCACATTTGAGTCATGTCACATTTACAAAAAAAAAAATACAATAATAAGTTTTTAGTTTTTTTAAAATGTCACATCATAACCGCCACATTATTACATTTAAAAAAAAGTACACTAAACTATTTTTAATTTTTTAAAAGTCACATCATACCTGTCGCGTTGTCACATTTGAAAAAAAAATACTAAGGAGTTTTTATTTATTTTTTAATAAAAGATTTAGAGTGTCACATCATACGCACCATGTTGTCACATTTGAGAAATGTACATTAAGAAATTTTTAGTTTTTTTTTAGTGTTACCCGCTGCGTTAGAGTGACACAGTAATACATTTCACATTGGAGTGTCACATCATACCTGTCACATTAATAAAAGAGTATAGTCATCTACCAAAATACTATCAACATCAAAAATAGAACTACACGGAAAGAAATTCTCTATTAATAGAACTTAACAGATCAATAAAAAAAATTTTAAATTAATTAAAATATTTATTTGCGAGATGGAATTTATTAATAAATATCCCAATAAGGAATTCAATATTTTATATGTACATTGTCCAAATAACCAAATAGAGTGACGTAAAAAAAAAAAAAAAAAAAAGCCTTATCCTTTTTCTTTTTTTTTTTTTTTTTTTTTTAACCAGAAAGCCC